ACTCAGAGATCGGTTTTCTCTCCTTTTTGTCGTGCTTGGTCATCCTTGTGTGTTGTTACTTCCCTTTGTACCCCCTAGATTTAGAAGGGAACGTAACACAGATATTTAAGTAAGCTTTCTTAACGCTAATGTTATAATAGTCAGATTGCTCTGAAGATGGGAGGTGATATTCTATTAATGTTCACGTTCACACAGTCGGTGATTTTTGCCGGCCGTCTTTCCTGCAACGGCAGTTTTTCTGTATTTCCTTTCTCCTGTAATATGACTTGATCGCCTTAAACTCTGCACACTGAGCTCTGATTGGTCAGCAGGCAGTGCTTTCACTGAGTTGAGCTCTTAGCCTGCAACCTAACCTGGTCCCGACCAGGTTAGCCGCTAAGCATAAATTACCATAGAGATCTAGCCTGCTAAAAAGAGAACCAGCTTCGTAGGACCGAAAAGCCGGAGTTTTCCCTGAATTTAGCCGGCTAAGCGAAAATCCTGCTTCGTAGTATACCCCCCAGGTGTGTCTGTGCGTTTTCCGGTGTGTGTGGAGGGAGTACGAGACGGTAGGAGTTGTGTTCGAGTGTGGGGAAAAGTCATAATGAGTGTTATTGATTGGTTCTGTAAGGTGTGGCTGTGGCCGTCAATAGGCCTACCAGAAAATAAAGAGAACATTTTCGACATTGAAGGCTCGTGATCTGTGATTTTGAATAGCTACAATATGAACAGGCTCGTGCTTGGCCCACTGGTATTGTTCGTTTATTTATTTTGAAAATTAACTAGCAACGCCGTGCTGTCATATAGCAACTGCTAAGCTACTGCAGCAAAAAAATCCTGGTGCCGCCCATGCTGCCTGCCCACATATCTGATCTAAACATAGTAACGTGTGTTGGGGGAAATCATTATTTAAAGTTATTTAATAATTGTGACATTTATTTTACTTTTCGATGGATGAATGATGCTCAAAGTGAGGGGGCAAAGAATACAACTGAGGGGGCAATGCCCCCTTGTGGCGCCGGGCCCGGGCAGAACTGTGTGCACACTGCACAGCGCTGCAGCATGTCTGTGAGCGAGAGAGAGATGCAGCATTTTACTGTGAGGTGTCTGTGAGGCCCCGCCCCCGCACGCAGATGAGAAAGAGAGATCTCTTTTCAAATATAATGAAAGTTAGAAACGGAGATGGTTAGATAAAAATGTGCAAGATAACGTTTATGTAGCATTTCTTTATTGTCGAAATGATGACATTTATAACGAGATAAAGTCAAAGTGAATGGCCTGCTGCTGCTGAATGCCTGGGGCAAGTGACTGGAAACAGTTTTAAAAGTTATTACATCGTTTCAGATAATAATAATAATAATGATAATTCATTCTATTTAGGGGCACCTTTCAAAGCACCCAAGGACACCTTACAATTCATAACATATTCTAAGGAAAGGTTTTAAGACAGTACAAAGAATGCAGTCCGGGTGATGTTTTTTATGTGGGGTGCAGATGAGAGGGAGCTGTCCAGAATGACACCAAGATGTTGTGTTTGTGCTCTTGATAAGCCATTAAAACAGTAAAATGCGTGTCTCCTGTTCACCAAAACATACCCATCTGTTATGGAAAAAGAAAGTATTCTAAAAGTAATCTGCCACCGGTACCGGCGGGGATTGTTGTTAGCTTCTGATGCGCAGAAGAAAAATCTGGCCCACCCTATTTTTTACAGGCCCACCCTAAAGTACATTTCTGCCTACGCTACTGGATGAGAGTGCTCTCATACTTTAAATTGTATATATTTATATAAATATATGTGTGTGTGTCCGCATCTGTAGCCTGTTATTGTCTCATTATACCGCACTCTCAATTAATTCAAAGTAAATATGTGGGGGAACAATGTTCAGCTGATGTAACAGAGATTATAAAATACAGCGCTATGACAAAACACTCGACAGCTGATGCAGCTGTTGCCACGTAATAATGAACGGACGTCGCTTTAATATGACCGCTCAGAGGAGAGGAGTTCTCATTTCTTTAAACGTCTGCGGCTTCCCCTCGTCTCTCCTCGGTTCCCCTCCTCGGTCCTCCGCTCGCATCTCCTGTGGGTGGGACTAAGTCTCGAGGAGGGGAGTCGAGGAGGGGACATTTAAGAATTGAGAAGCCTCTCGTGACTTCACTCAAGTGTGTGTTTACGTTCTCTGAACGTATTCACGCGAGACTTCTCTTTGTCCCCAACACAGTGTAGCGAACGCGCCCTCTGCTGGTCGGAGTTAGACACTACATACTGCTAGATAACACTACATTTTTCAAACAATAAACCAACCATTCCTTATCAGAAAACACACAGACAATTCTCACCACACTCTGAACATGAGCTGTACTAAATTCAAATGATGTTAACTATGTAATTACTAATAATGTAGGTATATCAACCCACTGATGGCTCTGTATGCCACATACACAAATGTTGAATTAATGACAACTTCACACAAAGTATAAGAAATGCTTCAAGCTTTATTGGTTGATTTTAAGAGGTTACAGAGTAGTAAACATACTGGTTACACACATGAAGTTTGTTGAAATCATCCACTCGAGCCACATGTGCGTTTTACATCTCACCTTCATCCTGTCAAACTTCCTTAGAAAAACTCACACCAAAGCTTCACACATTCTCATCCTCATCATCACCGACAACATCCCACATTTCGCAACAGCACAACCCATTATCTTCTTCATTTAGTCTGGAATACTTGAAATAGTCATAAGTCGGGGCTGAAGGAGCCCAGTGTCAGGCCAACCGGTGAGAGTTCACATCTAGCACCAAAAAAACAGAGTCCATCAGTTGTTGCTCTCATGGTGCCTTATAATTCCCAACGTTGATGAGTTTTTGGTGGGTCTTTTCCGGTTTTTCCTTATTTTAAGAACTTGGAAGTAACTGAAAGAGTACATTATTTCTTCCTCAATTCAAATAAGTAGACTTCAAGTAGAGTATGGAGTATGCATATCTTACATCCCAGCCAGGTCTTTTTGTCACGCCAAGCAGTCGGGGGGGAATACATCTGAATGCCGATGACAATATGAGATACAAAGAAGTCAATATGAGATGCTACAGAAACATAATCATTCAAACTAAATGTAGAAAACATTAGGACCAAAACAAATGTTAGTGAACAGCATTTTTAAATTAAATTAAATGCAGGAGAATGAAAATACATGTCTACCTCTCCAATAGAGTGGCGAAGTCCCTCCCCTTCCGGTGGACCTCCATGGGACCTTATTTCGGAAAAATTATGTATTGAAGTCAATGGAGAGAGAAAGATTATCTTTCGATCCCGTTTGAATTGTGCCACGAATTACACATATGATGTTTGTCAATTTAAAAGATAATTTTGCAAGTCAAAAAAATAAAAATGTGTCGTAAAACTGCGAAGTAACAATTTTTTTTGTGTGGAACGCTCAATTAACTCCATCTCTGGTCCCGCACAACAGCACACGTCACCAAGATGGCCATCACTACTGTCTTGCCAAAAAGGGATTGACTACCTCACTATCACCACAATGAAACACGTCCAGAAGAATGTCATGCAAAGCTGCCTGCCTGCCTTCCTTTGATTCTCTCTGATCTGCCTGATCTTTTTAATGTTTAATGTCAACCATTTGTGCAGATAGCATGAAGTAGAAAAGATCGCCGATGCTAATGTAGCATTAGCATTTCTCCCCCGGGCTTAAATGGTGTATTATAGAATGAACATCACATGTGTAATTCATGGCACAATTCAAACGGGATCGAAAGATACGTTTTCTCTCTTCATTAGGCTTGTTTGAGACAAGCAAGACCTGCGCAGACCTGCGCAGTTGCGATCAACGTCTTGCTAGTGCGTTGCATGATGGTTAGTCATTTTGTCCGACTTGCTCTGGAGGCCCGCCCACATGAGACTTTGAAATTTCGCGGGACAAAGACGCCCGCAGCCTTGAGAGCGAGGCGAGGTGAGTTGGCGCAGTTGCTCTCCACGGGCTGCAGAAGCGAAATGCTTGATGGGAAACGTCTCGCTGGTATCTCGAGCTGAGCGCTCATTGGTGATTTTTACCACGTGCTGCTGATGAAACTCTCCAATTGGCTGGCAAAAGTTTGTTGTTGTTTTGTGTCAGTTTTACGTCGCCACATCCATTCCCATTTTTCATCATTGTTCCACAATGTTTATCATCATGAAATTAATATCTATATATTGTATACTATACTGCTTACCGTTTTCATACTTTATATATCTTAGCATATTCATACACACTGTTCATGCTGCTCACAGGCTGATATCTAGTGTATTCATACCCCTCACTGTTTATTCATCATTCAATTCATTTTTATTCTGTAGGTTGTGTACATTACTTTTCACTTCACTGCTTGTTGCACCTGGTTAGAAGCTAAACTGCATTTCGTTGTCTCAGTACCTGTAATATGTGCAATAACAATAAAGTTGAATCTAATCTTGAGCAGGAACAAATGCATTTACTTAGTACATATCTGACATTAACGAATATACACATTTGTGCATTCTTTATAAATGCAAACTTGTCAAGACCACTGACGGAAGTAGTTTTGAAAAGTAATAAGTGGTTCTGTCTTTTACATGTATTCAACCCCCCTTGTACTGATTTGTTTCAAAATGAACTGACACTTGAGTCATTCATTTGTAGTGATATTGTGGGATTTCTATTGCATCCACTTCATCTGCAACGAAAAACGCCAACGCAATTTCCGCCATTGCAAACCCAGCCAGTCAAGCCGACTCCGACTCCGAGCTGTCCGACTTAAGACGAGCTTTTTGACACCTCCCCCGGCTGCGATCGGCTACTCTCGTCTACTTTCGAGGCGAGCCGCAATGTGTCTCAAACAAGCCTACTGACTTCAATACATAATTTTAATGGACCGGAAGTAGATGGGCGTGACTTCGCCACTCTATAGAAAATATAATTAGTGCATCATTATTACATTTCTATCAACTTCATAGATCATGTAGCAACATACCACTGCATGAAAAACATCACTTGTATTATTTTAATTGTAGTATAACACTGTGACACTGTGAAGCTCCGAAATGTATCACTTTATCAACGCTACATTTGTTGAGGCAAACAAGGTTAACTACTAGAGATTTGAGTGTGCGTACTAGTAGACGTGGTTACCCTACTGTCCATGAGTCCAACTGTACTAGAGCAAAGCAACATATCCAAAACATTTCAGAAATATTGCTTTGGTTCAATAGAAGCAGGCAGAGTCAGTAAACACTGCACACTTCCTGTTCAGTTCATTTTTAGTTTTGAACCCTTTTTCCAACAACTTTTCAAAGACAAAGCCATATATCATAATATTAGATTAGATTTTGGGTGAATGGTAATCCAATATTGTAATATTTGCTTGTTTATTATGTTTAATCCAGTATTTTTTTATATATGGCTTTGGTTCTGGAGCAGATCAGCCCTCTTATCTCACTGCCCCCTGCTGGCTGGCGCAGTGCTTACAAGCTATTATGCTAAAACCAAACAATGATCTGTTCCAGGTACAGGCAACTGGAGCGACTGGAAAAAAGAAAAGAAGGGCTGAGAAAAGCTCAGGCACACAACTTACAGGTCAATTCATACCTGGCCAAAATATATATGAATGTGGTTTCAGAGAAACTCTAACAATAATACCAGTGTCATTTAGAGTTATAGCTTATGTAGTTTATCTTGTTGTCAATCAGTAAGCAATAACCACCATGTTAAATTAACACTGACATCTTGTTAAAGGCAAAGGGAAAGCCTGGAAGATTGGTAGAACCTACGCAAAACTGCGGAATTACCCTTTAAAAGTGAAGGCGTTGGCTAGTTATGAAAAAAAAGTGCTGTTTTTTCTTCAAACCAGCTTGGAGACTCTTTAGCCTCATTTCTAAGGTCACAACACTCAAAGGCCACCTTTAACAAGGCTAAACATACTTTAGAAAAATGAAAAAGTGCTCCCTGGTGTGACAGAAGAACATTGAGCGTTGACCCTATATCATGGTAGACACACAAGACCACTGAAGCACATTGGAGGGTAAGAGCATTAAACTATCAGTGAAGTTTGGAAAGAGTATTTTTAGGGAGTAGATTACAACTACGCCTAGCTCAAATCTTGTGACAATGTGACATAACACATCATACTCAGATGCTGCAATACAATACTGAGATCTTATATCATCCCATGCTTAATCAGAACAGTGCCAGATCTGAGTCATCCTTCCCACTGAGCCAGCTTTTTTTCATTTCTATTCCAATTCTCTGTCAATCTGTGTCCCTTCCTGCTTTATAACAGGTCAGGGAGGTGGCTGTAGACCGAATCCAGAAGCGTCTGGCTGGCCTCTTGACTCTTGACCCCCGCAATCTCAAACAGCTGGTCCAGCTTGTCCTCTGCGGCTGGGATCTCCTCGATGATGTGCAGCTCTTCTGGGTTCAGAATGTGCAGCATGTCGTCGAAGATGGGCTGCAGGTCGCAGGGGTCGAGACGCACCTGCCGCAGAACTGTGTCTTTCTTCTCTGGAGGCGAAATGGAGAAGGGAAGTAATTAATATACAGCTTCTCCAATCAATATTTATATATTAACAACAGATATGTGAAAGGGGGTTGCTTGTGGCATGGAACCATAGACTGTATTAAGATGGACGACATGACAGCTCCTATAGTGAACCTGCAGCATCTAATACACTCCCTGGTGTGCGCGAGCGTGACACGCATTGCAGACCGCAAGTTAACCGCAAGTTTACCTTGACTTTCTAATGCTTCTAATGCCTTTTTTGCCGAGGTTCAAGGCATTGGCTACAGACAAACAGTGCCATTTCTCCCATAGTTCAAGCCACCATACTGTATTGAATGTGTGTGTGTATACAGGGGCGCCGTTTGCCGACCGGCAAGGCAGGCAAGTGCTTGGACCAGAAGGGGGCCCCTAAAGAAGGTAGATTAAGAAGATCCACAGCAACGACAACATGATACACCCTTTAATTTACTGCAACAACATGACGGGAAATCCCCTCAAGGGGGGGGGGGACTTTACTGGCATTGATCCGGACCAGTGACCTTGTATACAATTCACAAGTGGACCTTTAATAAAAAAGTTATATTGTGTTGTATAAGTAATATCATACATTAACCCCATTATAGCAGATGCCTGCCACATTGAATGGATGAACACATTTATTTTGTTAAATAAAAACGAAATATGATTTTTTTTAAATGATTAAATGTATCTTATTCAATGCAGAATATGATTATATCCGTGACAGTGGGAATAAAAAAACGATAGTAATAAAAGATAAATCCCACTTGTTGTAGCTGGCAGAGCAAGAAACGCTCCAGCCTTTTATTTAAACTTGTTTAAAACATATCTAAATAAATATGTGTGTCCCGGGCCATAAATGTAATTATGCTGTCAGTTTTCAGATAAATAATAATAATAATAATGGGTTCCATTTATAAAGCACTTCATATTTGATTTCAAATCCCGAAGTGCTACAAGTAGTGAGCATGAACAGTATAAATAAACATTACACAACACGGTAGAATTAATAAAAAGCAATAAAAAAAATAAAAGGGTGATAAAAAGGTCTCGGCAAAGGCTCTTTTGAAGAGATGGGTTTTGAGGCCTTTTTTAAAGGCCTCCACGGTCTGTGGTGCTCTCATTTGGTCGGGGAGAGCATTCCACAGACTGGGAGCAGTCGAGCAGAAGGCCCGGTCTCCCATAGTACGGAGCTTAGTCCTGGGGGGTTTGAGGAAGTTGGAGTTGCTGGAGCGGGTGGTCCGCAAGGAGGTATGGGGGGTGAGGAGTTCCTTGAGGTAGGGAGGGGCAGCCACGATAAAGCCACGGCATCACAATTCTTCTGTATACAATATAGTTATTTACACCTCCCGTATTGCTTTCAACCCACCAGCTTTTATGGAGAAAATAAGTTATATAATCAGAGGCATGTTTCTCACAATTGTGTGCATAGAAACAACAGGCTACTGTGTGTGTCAGGAATCAGCTGTTTATTTCATGATCCACTGCAGCTGGTTGCGATACAAAAAGACAGCTAACTGGGTAACCTTTGCTCTTTGTTTAGGCCTTGGTTCACACAGTATGTTCCCTGACAGTAGTGGTTGACTTCTCAGCTTGTTGGGGCTGGTGAACGGTATGGTCAATGATTGTTTGTTTAAAAATGTTTGCGAAAGCTCTAAGCCAATCAGATATGGACAAAAAAAAGGATCAGTCTATGTGTCGAGGGGGAACTAGACACGCCTCTTCCTTTACAGCCATGGTCCGGTCTGACAGCACTCAGCTGTCTGCGGCAGAGAGGAAGAGACAGCTCACTGTCTACATAAATATGCAAACCCAAACCTACAGTTTGTCACGGCCCAAACTGTGTTCATGTGTGTCTCTGTTTGTTCCCCTGTGTGTGTGGAGGGGGTGTGGTTTCCCTTGCAGGCAGCAGCCTGATTGCACTCACCTGGCAGACCGACTCAGCTGTCCCTCATCAATCCAATCATGACACAGCATATCTACTCCAGTCTCCCAGCAACTGACCGCAAGATTGTTTTCTACACCAGTGGTATTGCATCCTCCTGGCTGATCAATTCAGTTGTCTTGTCTGAGTGTTATTCTGTACTTTTTGTAACTAGTTTCTCCTTGTGCTTCCAGTGCGATCCCTCAGCCATCGACCACCAGAGCTTCCAGCCAGCCAACCTGCCTGCTTCTTCCTTCACTATACCTGCCTGCCTTGTTCTCAGTCCAGCCTGAACTGCCTACCTCCACTCCGGACCTCCATAGTCTCCAAACCTGCCTGAGTCTCCGAACAATAAACCATTTAAACATCTTAAGTCACTGCCTGCGCCTGGGTCCTGTTTAAAACAAAAATCCTAACAGAACAATCTGGCCACCCAGCAGGCTCGGACCTAATTTGTGAGGCTCTCTCCAACCAACCTCGTGGGCCGGCATGACCAGATGCTCAGAGAGGTTATGGATAATCTCGCATCACTAGCCGCCAACGTAGCACAGATGGGACATCACCTCAACCTGGTTTCAACTAATCCTGCTCCACCTGCTCCTGAGGATCCAGTTCCCCCACAAGAGTTAGCATCGGTTCCAGCCCAGCCTGCTCTCCCTTCACGTGAGCCAAATATTCCCACTCCAGGGCGGTACGCAGGTGCCTTAGGGACATGTAAGTCTTATAATGCAGTGTTCTCTTGTATTTGAGCAGCAGCCGTCTACTTATGCTAACGACAGAGCTAAGATTTTTTATATGATAGGTTTACTTACAGGTAGCGCCCTAGCCTGGGCATCAGCTGTATGGGAGAGTCAGTCCAACCTTTGTAATTCTTATCCAGAGTTTGCAGAGGAAATTAAGAAAGTATTCCACCACCCCGTCAGCGGTAGGGATGCTACTAAACGCCTCCTCGCACTGCGACAGGGCTCCCGTAGTGTAGCCGAATACTCAGTGGAATTTAGGACCTTAGCTGCAGAGGCGGGGTGGAATGACACAGCGCTTCAAGGGTTTTTTCAAACAGGGCTAACTGATTCTGTTAAGGATGAGTTAGCAGTGAGGGACGAATCAGCTAACTTGGATGAGTTGGTCTACCTAGCCATAAGACTGGATAACCACCTTAGGGAGTGCCGTAGGGAAAGAGCCAGCCGATCTCCTGGGTCACTCCCCTCTCGCCCTGTCTCGTCTCCTCTCACAAGATTCAGGTCGGAAACTTTCCCAAGTCCCAGTGCCCCGTCAGGAGTATTTTCTCCTCTCCTATCTTCAGAGGAACCGATGCAGCTAGGCAGAGCCCGTCTCACTCCCCAAGAACGTCTCCGGAGAATAAGAGAAGGACTGTGTCTACTGTGCTCATTCCGGTCATTTCGTGGACACATGCCCCCAGCGCCCAAAAGAGGGTGCTCGCCAGTAAAGGTGGGGATACTGGTGAGCAAGGCTGTTTCTTCCTCAACCCCCCCAGACCCGCAAGCCACTTGAAGCCACACTGTTGTTAAACCAACAGTCTCTCTCTCTGCCTGCCCTAGTGGACTCTGGGGCGGATGAGAGCTTTTTGGATGCCCAACTGGTTGCCTCAGCCGGCATCTCAACTCAACCTCTGACAGCTCCTCTCAATGCTCAAGGTCTGAATGGGAAGCTCCTGGCACACGTTACCCATATCACCGAACCCCTACATCTCGTCCTGTCCGGTAATCACCATGAAATTATTCAGTTCCACGTCATGTCCTCCCCTCACACACCCCTAGTTCTGGGCCAGCCATGGTTAAGACTGCACAACCCCCACATGGACTGGTCGGAGAATCAAGTAAGGAGTTGGAGTTCCTTTTGTCACTCTTCATGCCTGCGGTCTGCAATTCCCCCAGCAGAGGTCGGTATTCCCCCAGTTCAGCAGGAGCCACTCAACTTGTCCGCTGTCCCTCCGGTTTATCATAGCCTGGGAGAGGTTTTCAGCAAGCAGCGAGCCCTTTTTCTGTCCCCTCATCGCCCTTACGACTGCACAATAGATCTTCTTCCTGGGGCATCTCTCCCATCCAGTCGCCTGTTTAACTTGTCCCGAACTGAGCGTGAGGCCATGGAGACATACATCAAAGACTCACTGGCTGCTGGCATCATAAGACCCTCTTCTTCCCCCGTCGGAGCAGGCTTCTTCTTTGTATCCAAGAAAGACCGTTCCCTGCGCCCCTGCATTGACTACCGGGGCCTTAACAACATCACCATCAAGAAAAAGTATCCACTGCCCCTCATCAATTCAGCCTTCGAACCCCTACAGAAGGCCACCATTTTCTCGAAACTCGACCTCAGGAATGCTTACCACCTGGTCTGCATACGTCAAGGAGACGAGTGGAAGACAGCGTTCAACACCCCACTAGGCCATTTCGAGTATCTAGTGATGCCCTTTGGACTCACCAATGCCCCAGCTGTCTTCCAGGCTCTTGTGAACGATGTCCTCCGTGACTTCTTGAACCGTTCAGTATTTGTGTATCTGGATGATATTCTCATATTCTCACAGACCATGGAGGAACACACCCAACATGTGCAGCAAGGTTCTACAAAGGCTCCTCGAGAACAAGCTGTTTGTCAAAGTAGAGAAATGCACATTTCACGTGGATTCAGTGGACTTCCTTGGCTACATCATTGAGTAAGGTTAGGTGAGAACAGACCCAGAGAAGGTCCAAGCAGTGGCACAATGGCCCAAACCTTCCACCAGGAAGCAGCTCCAACGTTTTTTGGGCTTTGAACATTTATATCGCCGGTTCATCAGAGACTACAGTCGTGTTGCCGGTCCTCTCAACCAACTCACCTCCCCAGCAATCCCCTGTTCGTGGACTACTCAGGCTGAGGCTGCCTTCTCTGAGCTGAAGAGACGTTTCACCTCGGCCCCTATTCTTACAAATCCTGACCCATCTCTTCAGTTTATTGTTGAGGTTGATGCATTCTATCACAACGCTCAGTCTCCGATCAAAAGCTTCACCCTTGTGCTTTTTTTCCCCGACGACTGACAACCTCTGAGCGCAACTATGATGTTGG